TCCAACAGCTCCATGTCCTTCTGCTGTTGGTGGCCCCAGAGCTGGAGGCAGCACTGGGGGGGTCTCCCCAGAGCGGAGCAGAGGGGCAGAATCCCCCCCATCCATCCCTCTCCCTGCTGGCCACGGGGCTGGGGATGCAGCCCAGGGTGCGGGGGGTTTCTGGGCTCCAGCGCAGGTTGCATTGAATTAACGATCTGACCTCGCAGGAGAAGACATGTCTCTAAATGCTGGGGGGGCAGCAGGGGTGACTTCTGCCAGCCTAGGGTCTTGGTCCTGTTTCCTGATGCTGGGGGAGCTGCTGGTGCAGTCCAAATCCAACAGCTCCATGTCCTTCTGCTGTTGGTGGCCCCAGAGCTGGAGGCAGCACTGGGGGGATCTCCCCAGAGCGGAGCAGAGGGGCAGAATCCCCCCCATCCATCCCTCTCCCTGCTGGCCACGGGGCTGGGGATGCAGCCCAGGGTGCGGGGGGTTTCTGGGCTCCAGCGCAGGTTGCATTGAATTAACGATCTGACCTCGCAGGAGAAGACATGTCTCTAAATGCTGGGGGGGCAGCAGGGGTGACTTTTGCCAGTCTAGGTTCTTGGTCCTGTTTCCTGATGCTGGGGGAGCTGCTGATGCAGTCCGAGCTGGACCACAGCCCAAGGGCCTGGCTGGATGCGTGGACCATAGTGGGGTATGGTGGCAACCAAATCCAGCAGGGTGGCAAACAAGGTGGGGCTGGTTCCTGTGGTACATCATCAGCCACGTGTTGATACAGCCTTGGCGTGGTAGGAAATGCCATCCTGGTTGTGTTGGCACACACGCTGAGCTGGGCAAAACCAGTAGCTGGAACAAGAGCCCTGGCTCTCACCCGCCTGCCGGCCCTGGTAGCCAAGCCCCAAGTCTCTGTGCCATTTTATAGCCAAGGACAATGAGAGTTGGAAACCCCCACGGGGTGTTGTTTTCCCAGCTGTGAGAGATTGAGACCCAAATTAGTGCCTTTTCCCCCCCAATCCGCTGGAAGGCTGCAAGTTCAGCTGAGCCAGATGATTAGCCACTAGAGAATCTACAGAGGGCTTCAGGAGATGGCCTGGGGGCCATCCTCCAGTAGAAACCAAACGCCACCTGCTCGGCTTTATCTGAGCCACGGATGCTTGAAAGATGTGGGAAGAGGGAGGACCGAGGTCTCTCCTCTGCCAGGGACCACAGAGTCCCTTCCCTGGAAGAGGATGAAGGCTGGTGGTGGCAGTGCCCTCCGGTGCTGGCAACGAGGTCCCATCCTTGACAGCATCACACAGGAGCTGTGTCCTTTAGGGAGAGCAGCACAAGTTGTTGTCGTCTTATTATTTTTTTTCCCCTCCCCTAAGGAGCCACAGGCTGGGACTTAATTGTGTTTATAGGCACAGGGTCTTCCCAAGGGTGGTGGAACCTCGTGGTGCCCACAGCTCTGTGTACCCAGCTGTGTACCCAGCTCTGCACCACAGCCTGGACACCACGCGGTGCTGGCAACGAGGTCCCATCCTTGACAGCATCACACAGGAGCTGTGTCCTTTAGGGAGAGCAGCACAAGTTGTTGTCGTCTTATTATTTTTTTTCCCCTCCCCTAAGGAGCCACAGGCTGGGACTTAATTGTGTTTATAGGCACAGGGTCTTCCCGAGGGTGGTGGAACCTCGTGGTGCCCACAGCTTGCTGTGTACCCAGCTCTGCACCGCAGCCTGGGCACCACACTGTCTGCCCACGGGCTGCTGGGGGGGCTTGAAAATCAACCCTAATTACCCACCAAAAAAAGAATCATGGAATCATGGAATTGTCAGAGTTGGAAGGGACCTTCTAGAGATCCTCCAGTCCAACTCCCCTGCCAAAGCAGGGTTGCCCAGAGCACATCACTCAGGAGCATCCATTGGGGCTTGAAGATCTCCAGAGAAGGGGACTCCACACCTTCCCTGGGCAGCCTCTGCCAGGGCTCTGCCACCCTCACCCCAAAGAAGGTCTCCCTCACATTGGAGTGGAACTTCCCATGGTCCAGCTTGTGCCCGTTGCCCCTCGTCCTCTCACTGGGAACCACTGAAAAGAGTCTGGCTCCATCCTCCTTCAACCCATCCTTTAGACACTCGTAAGGGTCTCCCCTCAGCCTTCTCTTCTCCAGGCTCAAGAGCCCCAGCTCTCTCAGCCTTTCCTCATCAGGGAGATGCTCCAATCCCTCCATCATCTCTGTTGCCCTACGCTGGACTCTCTCCAGCAGTTCCCTGTCTCTCTTGAACTGGGGAGCCCAGAACTGGAGGCAGGATTCCAGTTGTGGCCTCCCCAGTGCAGAGCAGAGGGGGAGAGTGACCTCCCTCCACCTCCTGGCCACACTCTTCCCTCTGCAGCCCAGGATCCCATTGGCCTCTTGGCCACCAGGGCCCATTGCTGGCTCATGGAGAGTTTAGTGTCCACCAGGACCCCCAGATCCTTCTCCTCAGCAGTGCTTTCCAGCAGATCCACCCCTAACCTGTCCTGGTGCCTGAGGTTCTTCCTCCCCAGGTGCAGGACCCTACACTTGCCCTTGTTGAACCTCATAAGGTTCTTCTCTGCACAGCTCTCCAGCCTGTCCAGGTCATGCTGGGTGGTGGCACAGCCCTCTGGAGTGTCAGCCAGCCCACCCAGTTTGGGATCAGCAGCAAACTTACTGGGGATACACTCTGTCCCCTCATCCAGGTCATTGATGAATGTGTTGAACAATTGATTAATATGTTGAACATCCTAAGATGTTCTCCAACAGAGAAACCCAGGGGCTGCTCTTTCTGATTTTCAAGGGTCATATTTTCAAGTTCTGCCTGATCAAAAAGAGACATAATTAGCTTGCTTTTTTTTTTTTTCAGCAGTAAAGAGTGGTTTTGGTGTTGGGTTTGGTTTTTCTTTTTTTTTTTTTGGTAGCTCAGAAGCTGAAGCTCTCCTAGAACTGCAGCTCCTTGTGAGAGCTTGTGGAAAGCCCTGGGATGCTGCGCTGGTGGGCAAGGGCTGGCCCCCCCCCCCCCCAGCCCTGTCACGCTCAGAGCATCAGGGACGGCTGCTGAAACGTCGAGACCCAAGGACGTTTTTGAACCAAGGGGGACCCAAAATAGCCTGAGACATGAGAAGGGTTGAGGACAAAAAAAAAACCAACCAACCTCAACCCACCCTGTAATATCTTCTCCTGAAATGCTATATATAGACTGATTCTGTGAGTTCTGGAAGGAAAGAGCTATAAAATCCAAATGGCAGCCAAGCCTGCCATGGGGTACGGCCCTGAATGGGGCAAGCTGGGGGCACAGGGGGGCTACTGCTTGCCCCCAAGAGCATCCCCATGCTCCTGCTGGGGTTGTCCCGCATTGGTGGTTGTGAAGGGGAGTGGGGAAGACCAGCCCTCCCCAAAATGGGAAGAGGGAGAAGCAAGCCCTGCTCCCAGTTGAGTAAATTTGGTTTAACTGGAAGTTGCAGAGCAGAAACTTGGGGGGGGGGGTTCTCCCCTTTTCTCTTTCTTGCCCCATCCCTTCTGCAGTCATTTGGACTATGAACTTCATAGGTGACTATGAACTTCGTAGGTGACTATGAACTTCATAGGTGGTCCTCTTTTTCCTGATGCTTTTCACCGGGATTTGGTGTTTGCTTTCCATCTTGCCCTCCCCAGCTGTGGGTTTGGAAAGGAGAGCTCTCCCCTGTGGCTCACCCCACACCCTCCCTGTCTCCACAGGTTATCCTGAAGGACCTGGAGGTGCTGGCCGAGATCGCTTCTTCCCCGGCAGGACAGACAGAGGGTCACGGTCCCTCCGATGGTTCCGATGCAAGACCTGGCCCCGTGGAGCTTCACGTCCCGGCCAGGGCAGGCCAACTGAGCTCCTCTGGTGAGTGCCACAGCCCCGTGCCTCCCCGCTCCCTGCGCTCACCCGGTGCTTGGTGGAACCGGTGGGATTTGCCTGGGAGAAGGAGAAGCCTCTCTCGCAGTGATAAATCGTATCATGGAATGGGTTGGGTTGGAAGGGACCTTAAAGCTCACCACAGCTGCACCCCAGAGGAACCCCTTCTCCTCATGGCTTTGGATTAACCTGATTTGGGATAACAATGTCATAGAATGTTTAGATTGGAAGGGACCTTAAAGCCCCCCCAGTGCCACCCCCTGCCCTGGGCAGGGACACCTCCCACCACACCAGGTTGCTCCAAGCCCCCTCCAACCTGCCCTTGAACTCCTCCAGGGATGGGGCAGCCACAGCTTCTCTGGCCAACCTGGGCCAGGCTCTCCCCACCCTCCCACCAAACAAGTTCTTCCCCACATCTCAGCTCCATTTCCCCTCTTGTAGGGTCCAACCCTTCCCCCTCCTCCTGGGGCTCCCCTCCCTGATCCAGAGTCCCTCCCCAGCTTTCCTGGAGCCCCCCTTCTTTAGGGACTGGAAGGGGCTCCAAGTTCTCCCCGGAGCCTTCTCTTCTCCAGGCTGAACCCCCCAACTCTCTCAGCCCCCCCTCCCAGCAGAGGGGCTCCAGCCCTCCCAGCATCTCCGTGGCCCTCCTCACTATCAACATGTCCACCCCCAGATGGCATCACTTGGGGGTTGAGGGCCGTGGCGCAGATCAGGGGACTGTCTCTTTCCTCTAACTCATGTTTTGGGGGTTTTGGACTCTATTTAGCAGCAGGATGCTGCAGTGGCCAGTGTGGAGAGATGTCATTATTGTCCTATTTTTTATGGGACCTGGGGTGCCAGCCTCTTCTCTCTTTGTAAAAGCCCTCGGAGCCCTGCAATGGGCTCAGGATGGGCTGCTGGCTGTGAGCCTGGGTGCCCAGAATATAAATGGATCTGAGAGGGTTCAGCCTGTGCTTATGAGATTGTCTCTTCAGGGCTTCTCGTGTTGGCTATGAACTGCTTCACTCTGTCGGGTAGGACCTCAAAAGGGAGATGAAGAGGGACAATCCTATTTTTCTGGGGACTTGGGGGTTAAAAAAAAAAATAAAAAAAAAATCTCCTTTTCATTAATCATCCCGGCACATCGGGAAGCTTTTTTTTTCCACCTTCCCTTGTCTGTGGCTCATCCATCCTTTGCAGTTCCTTGGCTGCCCCTTCTCCTCCACTGCTGCTATTTAAGGGCCTCCCCGTTGGATGCTCCTCGGGCCAGGTTGTCCCAGCCAAAAGCACGTTTCACGGCTGCTTTGGATTGCAACCCAAGGCTGCTTCTCCCCGGCGCAGGACGCGGCCACGGGGCCTCCCAAAATCACCCCGCCAGAGCAGGAGGCTTTGTTTTCTCCAAAGATCCCACATCACCCACCCCTCCCTGGGCTTAGAAACACCCACACCAGCAACCAGCTCGGTTTTGGGGTTGGTTGGGGTTGGGGTTGTGGGGTTTTTTTCACATCTCCCCGGCCGTAGCCAGGTTCTGTGATGATGGAGGGGTGGCCGGTGACCTCCCCGAGCCCTCTGCCGGTCTCATCCATCCTCCCTGTCCCAGGAGGTCCTGGGTGGAGGAGCTGCTGAGATGCTGGCCCAAGCAGCCGAGGAGCCACCGTTTGAGCTCGCGCTGATGGTTGTCTGAGGTTTCCTTCCTTGTGGATGCTCTAAAAATAGCAGGCGGGATGGCGTGGATCCGAACGGCTGCCGTGGCCCCTCTGAGCTCTCTGGAAGAGCAACTTGGCTTCTCTTCTTCCAAGCAGGACGCTTGAAAAACCTCTCTCTCTCTCCCCCACCTCGAGCCAGATCTGCTGGAGACGGAGCTCCTGTTGCCCCACTGTGAGGCAACTCACCCCCACCCCAGCCAGGGCAAGGTCCTCACGGGCTCTGGCTTTGTCACCTACTTTCCTCTTCCTGACAAAGCGCCAAAAAAAAAAAATTGGGTTGGGTTTTTTTCTTCTTGTTTTTTTGTTGTTTTTTTTTTTTTTTTTTAATTGATTTGGGGCTGAGCTTTGCACAGTAGTTGGCTTGTCGCCAAAGGCAGATGGATTTTTTTGGGGAGGGGAGAAGGAGCTGGTTTGTTGGCCTGGGAAGTTTAAGGTGGCCGTGGTCCCATCTGGTTCTGACCACCCAGGGCCAAGCGTGGATGGGCTGCTGGGCTCTTGCCCAGGGAAATGAGGGGTCTCAGCTGGGCCAGGACCCTCCTGGAAAAGCAGAGGCTCTGGGAAAAGACTCTTTTTGTCGGAGGGTTGTTTTGTTGGGGGGCTTTTTTTGCAGCAGGAGGGTGGCCAGTGGCAATCCCTATGTCTGTGTGGCCCCAGTGAGAGTGAGTGAACCCAAATTCTGCCCTGGGAAGGGTTTGACACTGGAAGAGGGGATGATGGAGCTGAGCTGTGGGGAAGAACTTGTTTGGTGGAAGGGTGGGGAGAGCCTGGCCCAGGTTGGCCCGAGAAGCTGTGGCTGCCCCATCCCTGGAGGGGTTCAAGGGCAGGTTGGAGGGGGCTTGAAGCAACCTGGTGTGGTGGGAGGTGTCCCTGCCCAGGGCAGGGGGTGGCACTGGGTGGGCTTTAAGGTCCCTTCCAGCCCAAACTCTTCCATGATTCTATGGTTCTATTGGAGGGGAGGCTGCAGGGTACCAGCACTTCTACCTGGGGTTAAATTGCTCCGTTCCCTTCATCCCACTTCAGACCGAGATGCCATCAGGGCTGGTGGTGGGAGGAGAGCTGAGGTGTCTCAGGTCCTCTCCTCTCCTACTTCCGATGCCCATCTGAGCGTGCAGTTGGTGGCTTTGCGGGTAGACAACCACGGGCACCCTTAAACCCCTTGAGCTTGCAGCAGCTTTCCGTGCTCTCCATCCCTGGTGCTTCGCCACCCGCGCGGCGAGGGGAGGCGGAAGGGGCCGGTGCCCCCGTGGTCTTCCCCCAGCTTCCTCCCTCTCCCTTTCTTCCCTCGGGATGTGTTTATGCAGTTGTTTCCCTGCCATTGAGGTCGGTTTCCTTCAGATGCCGGTTGATTAGTCAGGAAAGCCGTGTCCCACTTCCGCAGCCCGTTCCCAGCTCCAGTTTTTATTTAGCCGCTTTGTTCTCCAGTTAATGTAAGGTCAGTTGGCCTCCACGCCTTCTCCAAACACAATGAGCCAGGGTCAGCCCGGCCCAGCACTGCCTGGGAGACCCAAAAATCTCTCCTCCCGACCCGCTCCGGCTGCCCTGGGAGAGGGTGGCTGGGTGCTGACCTCCCAGAGCCTGTCCTTGGTTGTCCTCTGCCCACTTCTCGGGGACAAGGTCCGGCGGGCTGTGCCCAAGAGGTCCCTGCTCCTCAGGGTGATGCTACAAACACCCACTAGGTTTCTACGATGGGAATCCACCACCTGCTTTGCTTTGAGAGCGTTTTGCCACCTGTGTAGAAGTTGGGACAAGTAGCAGGTACCCAAGAGTGGTTGTCACCAAGGCCAGCAGGGCCAGGGGGAAGATTCTGCCCCTCTGCTCTGCTCTGGGGACACCCCCCTGCAGAGCTGCCTCCAGCTCTGGGGCCACCAACAGCAGAAGGACATGGAACTTTTGGATGGGGCCAGAGAAGGCCCTGGAGATGCTGGGAGGGCTGGAGCCCCTCTGCTGGGAGGTGGGGCTGAGAGAGTTGGGGGGTTCAGCCTGGAGAAGAGAAGGCTCCGGGGAGACCTTCCAGCCCCTTCCAGTCCCTAAAGAAGGGGGGCTCCAGGAAAGCTGGGGAGGGACTCTGGATCAGGGAGGGGAGCCCCAGGAGGAGGGGGAAGGGTTGGACACTGAAAGAGGGGAGATGGAGCTGAGATGTGGGGAAGAACTTGTTTGGTGGGAGGGTGGTGAGAGCCTGGCCCAGGTTGGCCAGAGAAGCTATGCCTGCCCCATCCCTGGAGGGGTTCAAGGGCAGGTTGGAGGGGGCTTGGAGCAACCTGGTGTGGTGGGAGGTGTCCCTGCCCAGGGCAGGGGGTTGGATTAAATGACATTTAAAGGTCCCTTCAAACTCAGACCATTCTACAGTTCTATGCTACGTAGATGGAAGCCCTCCAGCCCAGTCTCCAGCTCTGCTCTGTGTGGGAGGGGAAAGCCCCTTCCGAAAGGATGCCGATACCATCTGCCATCTCGTGCAGGGTAGCTCCTGCACACATCTCTTCCTTCCTTTCTCCACAGCTCTGGCAGGAGAGGTGGTTATGACTCTTTGTTTCGCAAGAGGCACTTTTCTCTCCGGCTTGGTCCGGTCCCTCCCACCTGGCTTCCTGCTGGAGATGATGGGGATGGTGGTGGACCCTCTGAGCACCTCACGCTCTAGGATGTTTACCGGGAGGCTGACTCCATACGTGGGTGTGCTAACACACCTGAGGTCATTGCTCCCAACCAGGAGCAATGGAGTCGGTGGACTACTCCAGAGGAGGCTGCTAAAAAGCCCCTGAGGAACATAGTCCATTGAGTTCAGACTTGCTGTATCCCCACCAGCCCTCCAGAGCCTGGACCATACTTGAGATGTGCTGTGATAGGGCTTTCCTATCGACATCCTTTTGAGGGATTTTGTTCTTCATGAGCCAAACCGCTCTCTCAGTGTTGTTTCTCGCTTCATTTGTGGAATCATAGATCTGGAGAGGTGGCAGTGTAGGACAGGATGGTCTGGGAAACATCAGGGTGGCCTCTGAAAACACCAGGCCAAGAGTCTGTAGGCTGCGGGGAGGTCTGTGGAAGGTAGGAAAGAAAAGCTGGCCCGTTGTCAGATGGCTCAGATCTGCTAAAGTGGCGTTTCTAATGGTAGGGGAAGATGAAGGTGCAGACACCTCCGTGCTTGTCTTCTCCTCAAAAGGCAAGGAGACAGCCAACATGGCTCAATGGACCACTTGCTCTCGAAGGAGCTGGTTTCCAAGGGCTTTCATGGGATGAGGAGTGTGACAGCAGGGAGCAGAGGAGCCCAGTGAGCAAGAGAGGAGAGACCTGGGGCTCCCAAGTGCTCTG